AAGGAAAGGACCCCCCCCCCCCCTCCCATCCTGGCTCAAACCTAGCACACCCTCGATTACAACAACCTTTCATTTGTACAAAACCCGCGTCTGTTCTGTCTCTACATTGACACCTTCGGGTGTACCTATGTTTGGCCTATCAGAGTGGATCGATGCTCATGAACTCTTGACGATGTTGTAGCGTGTTGCCATGCCCCATGCTTTCTCTCCTTGCGATCCTTCCGTGCCCACGAAAACAAGCAAAACTGCGCGCGCGTGCTCAACACTTTACGTTTTCCACGATGTGTTGTTGTGTATGTGCGACACGCGATAGGTCGGAATCATCGGCGTCGGTCGCATCGGCCGCTGCCACTGCGCTTCCGTGGCTTCCGTCCCCACCAAGGCCACCGTGAGCATGATCTGCGACATCTACCAGCCCGCCCTCGACGAGGTCTCGGCCATCTTTCACGTGCCTAAGACCACCAACGACCCCATGGAGGTGTGTATGCTTGCCCCTCCTACGCATTCACTCAACTCATGAAGTAGTTGACAACAAAAGCACCCTGCGGCGGGTCGGGTGGTGGTGGTTGGCAAAATGGGGAGGAGAAGAATCATTCAGCGTTGTTGTTTCGTGCCGGGGGTGCATGTGTGGGTTGTGTATGTGTCACTGCCAGCAAGCAGCTTGCACGTGTTGCATGTGACGGGATTCATGAGTGCGGACAAGCGATCGACGGCTTCCAAGGAGAAGGCCGGCAGGCCGGCAGGCCGGCATCCACTTCACGAATGGTCCAACAGCGCCCGTCTCGACGAGTGCCTCTGTTGATGAGTATTCTCTGACCTTTTGTCAACAACGCTCACGTTATTTTCCCGCACTCTTTTTCATCACCGTCTGCTTGTATGTTGTCGCTGCTGTGTTTTCCCTCAGCTCATCAACGACCCTGACGTGGAAGCCGTGGTGATCTGCTCTCCCACCGACCAACACGCGGGGCAGATCATGGCCGCCGCTAAGGCTGGCAAGATGATCTTCTGCGAGAAGCCCATCTCCCTCAGCCTCGAGATCATCGACGAGGTGTGTGCTGGTGTTTTCTTTGGTTGGCATCGACCGCGCTAACCGGCTTGGCCAACGACATGACGTCAGCATGTGTATGTTTTTGTGATGGGCATGGACCGCACTGCAGTAGTATCTTGTTATTTTTATGGGTGAAAGAAACAGCACGGAAACCGACCGTTCGGGGTGTCGGTCACAGGCAACAACCTTTTTTGTTTCGTTTTTTCTATTTCAAGACGAAAACAACACATGTTCTTGCGAGAAAACAATCTGTTCATGCCTACGAGAAGAAAAAAATTGCAAGCAAATGAAAAAGCGTGAACGATGCAACAGCAGTTGCATGTGGAAAGAAGAAACCACATCTGTATTCGAGTAAAAACAAGCAAGGTTGCATTCGACTATAGCTTAACTTCCTTTTTTTCTGTAAACAGGTTGCGGCCGTCGTGAAGGAAGCGGTACACGGTTCACAATGTTTTTTTTATAAACAGATTGCGGCCGTTGCAAAGGAAGCGATACATGCATAGCAACGTTTTTTTTTTTTTTACTAAACAGGTTGCGGCCGTCGTGAAGGAAGCGGGTGTGATGTGCTTCGTGGCGTTCCAGAGACGCTTCGACGCGAACTTCATGCGCCTCAAGGAGGCCGTCACTGGCGGGGAGGTGGGGGACGTGCACATGATGCACATCGTTTCCCGGGACCCCTCGCCGCCGCCGGTGAACTACATCAAGGTATGAGGAGAAGCAATTATGTTTTTCCTTTAACGCAATATATACATCTCTACAGCTGTATCCATTGATAAGGGTCTAGGATTTGGTGTGGTGAATTCATTTTTTTTTGCGTCGCCTTCACGAGCTACGTAAGGGCAGTTGATTTTCCCCTCTTTGTTGTTGCTTAGAATATTACGGTACATCTGCAAGCGCTGATTGCGTTGTTTTTTAGAGTCACACGGGGGCATTGAATTTGCCCGTTGTTGTTGCTTTTCAAGTCAACGCCACCGCAGCACTAGGTGTTGCAAGTTTGTAGATGCGAGCAATAGATGCGCGGCGGTGAATGCAGCTGCAGCGTGCTGGTTGGCTGTTTGGTCTTTGAAGGGTCAGGAGTTCCGCCGCGTCCACAGCCCCAGTGTCCACGCTGCGGCTCAAGCGGGTGCCGCCGCGGCTGCCTTTCTCCTCAGTAAGGACGGCCGTGGAGCCTCCCTGTCTCTCCGTGTGGCACGACGCAGGCAACGACCAGCGCTTGAGCTGTACCGTTCCGCCTCCGCGTTGGTTCTTGCATCTTGCGTGTTGCATCTAGACTTTCAAAAGTCAAGACAATAGAGGAAAGCAGATGAGCCGTTCGCCCCGTGTTTTGAGCACGTCCTGATTTTCACCCAGGCGGGGCAAGCAATCTTGCCGCAGTGCTTGTGCTTTGCGCGACCTAACCCAAAATCAAAGCACACACCTCCTAGATAATTGCATCACCTGCTTCTCTTGTTTTTCCTTTTTTTTTTCTCTGGATTATGTGCTGCCTGTTTGCTTCGCTGCGGTTCAGACATGTCGTGTGCATCTACACATGTACCCCTATCATAATGTCATGATAGTCGATCACAAGGTTTTTTGTTTCGTGCTCTTTGTCGTGATTACAGGCTTCCGGAGGTCTGCACAACGACATGGCTGTGCACGACTTCGACATGGCTCGCTTCCTCGCCGGGTCCGAAGTCACCGAGGTGTACTGCAAGGGCAGCTGCAAGGTCAGAGAAAGAGACAGAGGCGGGCGGAGGGAGCGAGAGGCAGAGGGAGAGAACGGGAGCGCGAGAGAGGGAGAAAGAGAGAGGGCGGACACAAGGCGCATGAAAATGATCCTTTTTTGTTTTGGTCACGGCATCCGATTTTCGGTTTATTTTTGTCACTGGGCGAGCCCACGTTATTAACCTTTGTACCGTTGGGTATTTCTTGAGACCCTCTATGCGTACGTGTT